GGGTTTAGGGTTTAGGGTTTCAGACCATACGGCTGGTGATATAAACCCTGCATTACCCATTCTAAGGAATATACCCATAACTCCCATGGTTTAGGGTCCTGAAGCTAATGCAGGATTTATCTCATATCATCAACAGCGAGAGTACTTTATGTAGGGGCCTACACCCCAAACCCTAAAGGCCCTACTTACTTGGGGTGATTGAAAGTCCCTAAACCCTACACCCTACACCCTAAACTGAAAGTCCCAGCCATGTTGCTGAAACGTTTGGTTCGGCCTCTGTTTTTGTCCCAGCAGGCATGGAACTTTGATTCCTCTGAAAGGCTCCTTTAAGGGTTCCTTTCAGGGCTTAGGGTTTAGGGTCTAGGCTTTAGGGTTTAGGCTTCTGCCAATTATGGAAGCAGTCCTTGCTGTGGTTTACGGAGAGATCCTTAGAGAAGGGCGTGTGGAATCAAGTTTCGGGTTCAGGGCTTTGGGGGACTGGAGTCGGATGCTGGTTTAAATCAAGGCCCCCCTTTAGGGCTTTAGGGTTTGGAGTTTATATGGGTGGTTGTCAAAATGATGGTCCCTTATTGGGTCCTTATTATAATACGGCACCTACTATTTAGGGTACCCCACAAGGGACCATAATTTTGACAACTATCCATATATTTTTAAATTGGGCCCTTTTCCAACTGCCTGTACAGTAGAATTCCTTACCAGGAGGAGCCTGTTGAGCTTTCAGGGCTTAGGGCTTAGGGTTTTCGAGATCAAGGATCCCCTAAACCCTAAAACCCTAAACCTAAAACCCTAAACCCTAAACCCTAAAACCCAAAACCGCCCAGTTTCTTCGATGTCGGGTATCCAGCTCTTGACCCTTGGGGCCGGTTCAGATCGATTAGTGTAGGGGCCCTAATGATTAGAATAGGATCCTTTAAAGGGAGCCTTAGGAGAGATACTATAAGGGCTACTATAAGGGTTTAGGGTTTTGGGGCCTTAATAACTAGAACAGGGTGTTGGGGAGTTCCTTATTATAGTATAATCTACCCCAAACCCTATTCTAAGTATTAAGGCCACTAGATT